TTCTTGTCTCCTTGCACTTTCCTTGATCTTTTGAGGTCCAATCTTGATCCCTTGGATGAGTTTTGACCTGTTTAGCTCAGAATAGTCCTAATCTAAACAAATTACAAAAAATTATGAAAATAAAGTATTACACAAAAAATGTGTAATTTCCACAACTAGAACTAATAAAAACTAGTTAAAAATACAAACATACATGATAGGAAATTCACACTATCAAACTCCCCCACACTTAGTTTCATTACTCGTCCTCGAGTAAAGCCAAATGTTTACAAGTTTTTCATGTCTTCAATAGTTCAACAATTTAACAAGAAAGAGCAAAAGACCACCAAGATTTGTACATGAGATTTAAATTGAGTTTTAAGCTCAAAGATTAATATTTTCTTGGGTTTTATGGCCTTCTATGCTCTTCTCTTGTTTTCAACTCCTTCATTCCGCTTCTTGAGACCACCATTGCCCTGTAAAAAAAAAATATGAACCTCTAATATCTCTCATTTTGCCTAGGAGCCTTTTCAGGTTTTCATCCTAGCCTCTCGTTTTGTTTTGTTCCTTTCTAACTCACTTATTAACATTTTTTTTATAAGCCCTTTTTGCTTAGATTGCCCGTTTTTGGGTTTTCAACCTAACTAGCATTTCCCTTTTTTTTGTTTTTTTTTGTTTTTGTTTGCTTTTTTTTTTTTAAAAAATCCGACACCGTCTCCGGCAACGGCGCCAAAAACTGATGTGAGTTTTCTCGCACTTAAAAAGATTGTAATATAGCAGTGAAAGTACGAGTATCGTCTCCACAGGGACGGTAAAAGGGAATTAAGAATTAACTAAAAATCAGCGATAAAGAATAAATAAAATAAATGCGGTCGTGCGAGATTTGGTTGCTTGAGAAAACTAAAATTGCAAATAAACGATTAAAAGTAAATGATTGGGTTCTTCTTAATTAACAACGAAGGGAACATGGATTGATTCCGGGGTAATCAGATTTCTGGTAGATCAGACTTAATTACATGAATTTAATTTAATTGAGCCTAGCTAATCAATACTAAGTTCTTACCGCTCTCGCGGCGTAGAGTACAATAATTTAGGGGACCAGGCTGATCTCTCATGCGACAGGATCCTAAATTATTGCCAAGACGAACGAGCTTACGGCCCCTTAATCGCTACTAATCTCTTAGCGAACGATTAAGTGTGTGTGAATGTGTCCTAGAACAAATTAGATCTCTCTTAATTTATTCTATAAGCAATTGTAATTCTAGTGGCCATTCTAGGTTACAAAAGATATCAATTAAATTATTCAAACACAAATTAAACGGCATTCATGCAATTTACACCATCAAGAACCTAACCATACATCATGATTAACCCCTTCATCAACCCCAAATCCCTAATTAAAACTACTCCCTATTCATAATTGAAGAATCAATAGAATTGGGATAGATAGAATTAATTGTCATTAATAAAAAAGTAGGAATTTACAAAGAATGTTAAGGAATTGAAAAACCTGGCTGAAAAAACTCTCTAATCTCGTCCTTAATCTCTCTCTAAACTTCCATCCCCCCTAATTAGGGTTATGGGGGTGGTATATATAGGAAACAAGGCAATTTGGGGTGAATTAGGACAGATTTTGGGTACGCACGGCACCACGCACGCGTGTGTGGCGTCCGTGCGTCCGACAGACGGCCGCATAAAAAGGGGGACGCACGCGTGCATCCCTAGCCACGCACGCGTGCGTGGCTGGCAGTAAGGTGGTCTTCGTTTTCTTCATTGGACGCACGCGTGCGTCCTTGCACGCACGGCCGTGCGTGGCCCTTTTTGTATTGAATTCTTCGTTTTCTCCCGTTCAAGTCCTCGTTTGGCCCCGCGATCAATCGAACAACTCTTTCTTCATCAAATCTTGATCCTGAATCTCCTGGTGGCCTTCAAAACTCTGAATTCATTCTCGAACATTCCTTAACTCATCCCGATCAATCCTTGATGCGCCGATACCGGGCCCTAAAAGACCTGATTTCATATCTAAAAATGCCAAAACTCGTTCCGACACCCAACTAACATGACTTGAGCTAAATATGATACTTATGACGCCTCAAAGGGAGAGAAATCATCAAAATCCGACTCCAACACGCATTAAGAGCGTGTTGAAATACGAACTTATCATAACACTTGGTGAAGATGTCTGTAACACTAATAAGTAAACTCTTGGTGAAGATGTCTGTAACACTTGAGATTTAATTTAAATGGATTAATAGTACTACTCATATCAACAAGGTACATCTCCTTTTAAGGGAGCTCATTAGCCAAGAACTCCAAAGTTAAGCGTGCTTGCACAAGAGTAGTCTTGGGATGGGTGATCCCCTGGGAAGCTTCTCAGGGCGCGCACGAGTGAGGAAAAAGTGCGCGGAAAAGGCTAGTGGCGGTTTGTGAGGACAGTACTAGAGGTCAGAAGTAACTAACTCGGAGCCTACGGGGCCGGGGTGTTACAATGTCAGCCAGCTGAAACTTCGTAGGAACATACTGCACCAGGAGATCTCCATGAGCCACTCGTTCACGAACAAAATGATAATCAATGTCAATGTGCTTACTGCGAGCATGCTGAATGGGATTGACAGATAAATATGAAGCAGATACATTATCACATAACAAGCAAACCGAACGAGAATGAGGAAAACCGAGCTCAAACAAAATGGACCGAATGTGTAATGTATCCTGAACTGTGTATGCAATGGCTCTATACTCAGCTTCAGTTGATGAGCGGGAGACAGTAGGCTGTTTCTTGGACCGTCAGGAAATCAAATTAGGACCAAGAAAAACAACATATCCATACGTGGAACGACTGCCATCAGGAAAACCAGCCCAATCTGCATCAGAGTAGGCCAGAACCGTGTGTGGGAGTGGTGACAGTTGAAGATGTAACCCGTAGGTTTTAGTGCCCTGTAAGTACATGAAAATTCTCTTAACAACCAACATATGTGAGGTACGGGGAGCATGCATAAATTGAGATACCAAGTGAACAACATACGTAATATCAAGTCTAGTCATAGTTAAATACTGCAATGCACCTACAATGCTACGATGCTCAGTAGGATCAGCAAGTAACTCACCATCAGTGAGAGATAGCTTGGTTCTAGTCGGTAATGGCGTGCGAACAGATTTAAGTGTATGAAGATGAAAACGGGTGAGAAGATCAGATACATATTTGGCATGAGACAAAAATAAACCGGAAGAATTGCGCACAACCTGAACCCCCAAGAAAAAATGAATATCCCCTAAATCTTTCATAGCAAAATATTTCCCTAGGAGAGAAATAAAATTACTAGTAAGAGTAGAGGAACTGCCAGTAATAATAATGTCATCCACATATAGGAGCAAATAGATGATATGTGTATCCTGACGAAAAATAAACAATGAATTATCAGCATGACTACAAACAAATCCATGAGTGAGAAGAAAACTACTGAAACGATGAAACCATGCTCGGGGAGCCTGTTTGAGACCATAAATGGCCTTGCGCAAGCGACAAATATGATTAGGAAATTGAGGATGAACAAACCCAGGTGGTTGACGCATGTAAACCTCTTCTGTGAGATGACCATGAAGAAATGCATTTTTAACATCTAACTGACGAATAGGCCATTTAAAAGAAACAGCTAATGTAAGAACAATGCGTACATTGGTGGGTTTAACAACAGGACTAACGGTTTCAGAGAAATCCACTCGAGCTTGCTGTTTAAACCCTTGGGCAACCAGACGTGCTTTATGCCGTTCAATAGAGCCATCAGACCGATATTTAGTTTTATAAATCCATTTAGACCCAACCAAAATTTTGCTAGAGTCAAACGGTACTAGATCCCACATTTTATTAGTGATAAGTGCATTAAATTCTTCAGCCATAGCCGCTCTCCATTTAATATCTTTATTAGCCATAGAAAAACAAGTTGGATCAGGAACCAAAACTGCAGTGTTTAGATTAAAAATAGTTTTGGGTTTAAAAATTCCTGATTTAGAGCGTGTTTGCATGGGATGTATATTTTCATGTAGGGAATTACCAGAACTCCGATCATCAGCCACCACCCCCTCGACCGAGGCCACCGAATCCGACGAGTCAGTAGATGGGGAACCCGGACTCGGAGAACTGCGGCCAGATGAGATGTACGTAGTGGAGGACACCGGAGAAACAGCCGGCTGGAGTGTCGGGTGCTCTACCAGCGGTGAGCTTGACGGCGGTGATGGTAAACGCAAATCCAAGGAAAAATTCACAGGGGTCATGGGCGAACCAGTAGCAGCTGAAGACTCAGAAGAAGTCCGGGAAAACGACAGTGGGTGCGGCTGTACAGTGGTAGACTCAGAGGAAAGAGAGGACACTAACTGGGAGTATGGAAAAATATTTTCATGAAACCTGACATTGCGACTAATATAAATTCTACCAGTTTTCGGGTCCAAACAACGATATCCTTTATATTCAAACGCATACCCCAAAAATACACATTGAACGGAACGAGGAGATAGCTTATTTACAGAAGTGGCAGGAAAATTTGGATAACAGGCACAACCAAACACACGCATAAAACAGAAATCAGGAGTCTGGTGAAATAATTTTTAATATGGAGAAAACCTAGTGAATTTAGTGGAAGGGAGACGATTGATAATATAAGTAGCAGTCAAAATAGCCTCAACCCAAAAACTGGCTGGTAGACCAGCATCAATAAGCATGGTTCTAGCCAATTCAAGTATATGACGATGTTTTCGTTCAACTAAACCATTCTGTTGAGGTGTGTCAGGACATGATTTGCGAAAAAGAATGCCATTATTACTAAAAAATGACCGCATACTTAAATTATCAAATTCACCCCCTCCATCACTCTGAAAAATTTTAATTTTATGATCAAGTAAATTTTCCACCAGACACTTAAATGATTTAAAATGCTCAAAGACTTCACTTTTACGGCGCTATGGGTAGATCCAAGTAAAACGGGAAAAATCATCAATAAAGGAAACATAATACTTCAAACCAGAAGAAGTTAAAACTGGAGATTGCCACACATCTGAATGTATTAAAAATAATGGTTTAGTAGCATAATGACAAACATCTTGAAAGGGTAATCTCTGAGATTTACCCAATCGACACGAAGAACAATCATGAGTAAAAGAGGACACACTACAAATTTGACCAGATTTTCTAAGACCATCTAAAACTCTACTACCACAGTGTCCGAGACGGCGATGCCACAGAGATCCATTCGCCACACTAGAAGCAAGAGCCAGAGCCGGGGAAGAAGACAAACGAATGGGATAGAGACTGCCGCTACTGGAAGCTTGAAGAAGGATTCCCCTCGTGGTTTTGTCCTTTAGGAAAACAGAATTATTGTCAAAAATAACCATGCAATTATTGTCAGAACACAATTTTCGAATGGATAATAAATTATATTTAATTTTTGGAACATGGTAAACAGATTTTAAATGGAGAGGCCTTGAAAGAGAATTAACAGACATATCACCAATATTTTTAATGGGTAAAACAGTGCCATTTGCAACAGTAACATTAAGAGGTCCGAAATAAATAGACTTGTTAACTAAATTACCTTCCTGAGGGGTCATATGCGCAGAAGCACCGGAGTCTGGAAACCAGACAACGTCATTTGGGTCACCCATGGGTGCAACAAGTGCTGAAGCAGTAGGCTGATTAAAACGGGACGGACAAGACACTGCATAATGACCCGGAGAATAGCAAATTTGACAAACAACTGGCGGGGGAAAGGAACCAAACTGTCCATCTACTAACGGTGAGCCTGCATAACCATGGTTAGTACCAGCAACAAAATAGGGATGCGTATATAACGATGAAAAAACCGTATTACATATAACTGAACCTGGTCGTGTAGGAGCTGGCGAACCCGGGTAATAACCCTGCTGAAAATACCCGGCTGGAGGCTGTCCGGGTCGTGGCTGATGGTAGGCGCCCTGCTGGCCGTAACCCGGAGCACCGTACAGGTGCTACTGCTGTCCATATCCTCGGCCGCGCCCTCGCTGCCCCCGTCCTCGTCCGCCGCGGCGACCTCGGCCGCGATTAAAGATATTGCCGCCGCGAGGATCTCCCCCAGGTGCAGGTGCTACCGCCGGAGCCGCAGGCTGAGCAGCAAACGCCGCAGGTTGGTGCATGGTTTCTTGAGCACGAAGGTAGCGTAAGCGGTTCTCTTGCTCCATGAACTTGGTCCGTAGTTTGTCAAAAGTGAGACCCTCAGGAAAAGTAGTCAAGGTAGTAATGATGGACTCATAATCCGGACCAAGTCTCAAAAGAGTTTGTTCAAGTAGATCTTTCATAGACACCGGGGAATTAATTGTGGCTAGGGCATCCGCAATTTTTTGAATTTCACGCATGTACTGTTCAATGGACTGATTTTCTTTCTTTTTGGAAGCTGAGAACATTCTTTTTAATTCCATTGAACGAGCCATACTAGCAGCCATAAATCGAGACTCTAGATGATTCCATATGGTAGCAGAGGTCTGGAGAGTGTGAACCTCAACAAGTATATCACGAGATAAAGTAGCAAACAGCCAAGAACGAACTGTTTGATCTAGCTTTAACCAATAATAATACTCGTTGTTCACAATCTCTAGACGAAGATTATCAAAAATATATTGAGAAGGAGCAGTAATCGTACCATCAAGAATACCCATTAAGCCGTGTGAGACTAGGAATGACTCAAATTGTGTGCGCCAAGGAAGATAATCTGCAACCGCATCAAGCTTTGTGGTGACAATATGAGTAACATTGGGAGTCGAAAAACCCATAGCTTGTGCAATAGCCTCCAAAGAGGAGACCGGAGCCACTGCTGGCCGACGGTGCACTGGAGCAGTTGTTGGAGGCGCTACTCCCTGCGCACCGACAAAAGTGGGGTCGCAAAATTGTAGGCATGAGGGCGATGCCGGAACCGACGTCGGACCTTGCATGCGACTGCCGCGGGCTGGAGAAGACCAGTCAAAAACCGGCGGCACCCATGTATTCGGATCTAGGGACGAGCTGCTCATCGGGAATGGCGCTACGAAGGAAGGCTGCAAAACTGCGGAGGTTGAGCGAAAACTTAAATAAGTCGGTGCAGAGGATGTGGAAAAGGTGGCCGACATCGTTACAGAGGAGACCGCCGCCGTGAGAGGTGGTGCGGCGGTGCTGTGCGATGCTGCCACCGTGAGTGGCACGGTGGTGGGGTGTTCGGCGGCCATAGAGAAGGAAAAAAAAATTAGGTTAAAAACCTAGGCTCTTGATACCATGTAAGAATAATAAACAGGCTTAACCAGACTGGTAGCCTTGAAAGTATATTTATATGAAATAAGTATCCAAGTACAATAAGGAAACTAACTAATAATTAATTCTAATTATTGCACTATTATATAATATGTGGTCCCGGAAATATCGGATGGTCCCCGCTTCCGGTGTGGGCTCCATATGCAATTTAATATTCACGCAAAAGTAATAACAAAAATTTACAATCTCGTAAATTCATTAACCACTTCTCAAGGTTCAGTACATAATTTACATAAAACTAAATATACTTGGGGACGGTGTTACAATGTCTGCCTCCTATCTCTCAGTTTATCCTATTCAACATGCCAGGAGTAAGCATATTAATATTGATTATCACTTTGTTGGTGAGCGGGTGACCCATGGTGATTTGAGTGACAAGTATGTTCCAACGTAGGTTCAGCTAGCAGATATATTTACAAAGTGTTTGTCTCCACGATGGTTTACTCTTCTTAGTCACAATCTGCGCATTGTATCCCCTGCACATGTTGAGGGTGTGTAATATCGTATTTTAATACTCCATATTTATTAATATTGTGGGACTCCTATTATAATTATGACTCTTATTTATTATATATACACCTGTCAGGGTTACCACATTGGTTAAACCTCTTAATCATTCTCACATCTACTTCTCAAAAGATACAATAACATTTTCCATTAACAATTTAACTATGTGATGTTCAAATTGCAACATTTTAGTTTAGTAATGATGTTAGTTTTTTGAGTGGGATTCACTTATGGTCAAGTCTCATTATGACCGAGTTTCATAATCACTCTAACTTTGGGAAAACTATCAAATAGGTCTACCTATTTTTAACAAAAAGTCAATTAAATTCATGTACTTTTTTTAGTCAATTAAGTCCGTTAACTATCAAAAAACGACCAAATCAGCTTTTTAATAGGTAGCCGATCGGTTACCCGGTTAACCGCCTACATGGATGTCCGATGTGGCATTTTTTTTACTGTTTTCCAATTTTTTTACTTTACTTTTCTTTTCTTTTTTCTCTCCCCTTTCTCTTTTTTTTCTTCCTTCTTCCTGGTCCGCACCTCTTCCCTTCCCGATCTGGTTTTCTCCTTCGTTTCTTTCTTTCTTTCTTTCTTGTCTCTCGGTGGAACCAACTTTGCCGCTTCTGCCTCCCTAGCAACCATCTCGTCTTTCCCAGGGCCGAACCCTTCCTTGAGGCAAAGAGGCAATCGTCTCAGGCCCAAAAAATTTGGTAAATAATAAGGGCCCATAAATAATTGTATTCTAGTATTATATATATATATATATACATTTTTTTTTGCTATTTTTATTAAAATAACAACAATACAAAAAATATTAATCAAAATAATATCATGCAGCTATGTGGGATTAATTATATGATGTAGGCATATTAATTAAATTACTGCTTACAAATCTTAATATCCAAATTGTACATTATTCAAAGGCCTTTTACAAAAATTCGACTCGGGACAAAAAAATGTTAGGATCGGCCATGGGCTTTCCAACCTCCATAGCCACCGCCTCGACAGTCCGTTCGGCCTACACATTCACCTCAACCGCCCCTTCCGCAGCCATACACACCGCCTCCGGCCACTACCTATGTGGCCTTCCCCTTCGCCTCCAAGCGACCTCCAGGCACGACGGCTTCCATAGCCGTCGCCCTTACCACCGTACCCATAGCCGCCGGCTTCCACCTCCATGGTCTCCAGCTCCGCCTCTTCCATGGAATGACCTCCAACCACCCGATCTCCAACTCCGCCTCTTCCATGGAACGACTGCAACCACCCGGTCTCCATAGTCGCCTCCACCCCAAGATCCGTAGTTGTAGATGCAGGGAGGGAAGAGGAGTTCATCAATTCGAAGGGGAGATGCCGAGATGGAGCGCCAACAAAGAAGATGAGCGGTGAGCGAACTGAAGAAAGAAGAAAGAGAAAAAAGAGAAAAGAAAAAAGAAAAGCAAAAAAATAGAAAATATTAAAAAAAGTGCCAGATGATGTCCACGTTGGCGGTTAACCGGACAATCAGTTGGCAACCTATTAAATGGCCAATTTGGTCTTTTTTTATAGTAAACGGACTTGATTGACTCAAAAAAAGTACATGGACTGAATTGAGTTTTTCTTAAAAGTAGGTATTTGACGGTTTTCCCCTCTAACTTCTTATTTTTTTTAATTTTATTTAAGTTTTTTGTTTTTTACATTTTTTATTATTAATAAAGTTAGTTATTACTTTTATGTTTTAATTATGAATGAAATATGAATTGTATTAAAACAAAGCAATGGTAGAATTGGAAATCTAGTTCTATTAAAGAAATTTTAAAATTACTCATTTTTTTGCAATTACTGCGTCATTTAGTCCTATTTGGGGAATTTAACTAATTTATAACTACTGAGGTAATAACAATAATTAACTCAATAATAATAACAATTTTTTTTTACGGAACAACAACAATGTTATATACGTAGTAAATGAATGCAATAATTTGAACACAATTGAACTTTAGTATAAGTGTAAGAATGTTTTCTTTTGGAGTGTAATTGTTGGTCTAGTCTGGTTGATCTGCTCAGGTCTAGTGTGTTTAAGTCTGATCTGGTCTGTTTTAAATTGGTCTGATCTAGTAAATATTTGGTCTCTGTATATTTTATAACTGTCAAGTCTGATCTGGTGTGGTTATTTTAAATTTAGTGTGATGTGATGTGGTGTATTTAAAATGGAATCTATTTTAATCGTAGTAGGGAGTATTATTCATGTTTTTGAACATCCGTTCTTGCTGGCCCTGCAGTTATAAACCGCGTAATATCATTGGGCTTTGATTATTAGGAAACAAGAATCTTTAAAGAGGAAAATCATATACGGAGTAGGAAACAAAGACTTGTTACTAATTAACTCTAGCTAGGAGTAGTTAAAAAGACTTGGAGTACAAGTCATGCGCTAAACCGCCTCTCAGTTAATTATTAGGAGTATAAAAGAGTGTCTTGTAGGGCTGAGCATATTATTTTCATTCTCTTCGATCTCCATACATTACGCTTACGATTTACGAACGTAGTTTTGTATAATAATGGACGGTGTTGCTGATGATGTTTTCGAAGGTCTGGTGGGATTGGCCGAAGATGATATACTGCAACTGCATTCGGAATCTTGGGAAGGCGGCGCCGGCAAAGACGATGAAGGGCTGGAGAAAGTATGCGCGGTGTGTTTGTCGGAATACGCTAAAGGCCAAGAGATTACCCGTTTGGCTCCGACGTGTTCGCATGAATTTCATAAGGATTGCATTGCAGCCTGGCTGAGGAGGAAGGACACTTGCCCTTTATGCCGCCGTCAGGTCGTCGTCCGAGTCCATGACAGTGGTGGCGCTGTTATAACTCAGATGCCGCCGCCGCCTGCACTTGGCCTCATGTCTTTGATGCCTCATAACTTATTTCGTAGGCTGCAGGTTACTAATTGATCGAGTAATTAGTCAGAAAAATATAATATTTGTAAAAAAGTATCCGTACTTGGATATTTCATATGTGCACTGTTTTAATACTTTTAATTAGTATTCTTGAATGATATATTCTTGTTAATATACTCCGTATCTTTTAATTATTTGTAGATAATGCGGTTGCAGGTGTCTTGCTGACCGTGTTTCATACATGCAGTCATATAATTTCTCCATTTCAAAATGATTTTAAACACAAATTTTCTTGGTAATGAACGTAGTTTTAAATTTATTTGACCAATGTCGTACTAATTAATTTGTGATCGATGGATGGAATTGGACTGCTATCAGTTGAACGGATCAAATCAGACCAACTAAACACTTAATCGGTCCAATTATTTTTGTCTCACTTTTCATTTTCGTTACCCATCAAATTTGTCTCATTGTGCGTAATTGCGTATGATATTTGGTAATGTTTGTAGAGAAAATTGTGCAAAATAGGACCAAATCAAACAAAGTTTACATTATTAGGACCTACTTAGTTTTTTCCATCCGTATGCTCTATTTAGTTCTAGTTTTAGGAACCTTAATTTTTTTTCCCGTTTCTACCCTCCACCCTTGCATCGACTTCGCCAAAGCGCAGCTTCCTCCCCAAACGCAGCTTCTCTCCCTGCGATGGAACGCATGCCTCCACCTTCGACCGCAGATGCCCTCCCGCTCGACGCCTCGCCTCTCCTCCTGATCTCCGCCTCGTCTCGCCTCGCCGTCCCGATCTCCGCCTCGCCTCGCCGTCCAGATCTCCGCCTCACCTCGCCGTCAAAATCTCTGCCTCACCTCGCCGTCCAGATCGCTGCCTTGCCTCACCGTCCAAGTCGCGGTTCAACTCCGCCGTCGCAGTCGTACTTGAGCAGATCACACTTGGATTTGAATAGATTATTTTATTAGAATTTATTGTTTATTTATTGTCTACTTATTGTCTATTTATTGTCTGTTTAATGTCTGATATTTCCTAAAAGTATGAGTATTGTGGTCAATGCAGGTGTATTAGTTGACTCTTACGCGAATCTTCGATCTTAATTTTGGAAAATTCGTACGTTTTGCCCCTATTTGTTGAAATCTCCCATGTTTGTATGTTCCTAATTCATTTTTATTATTTTAGTTCTCCAATATCACCGTGATTCCTCATGTCCACATTTAAATGGGACAATGATAGTAGTAAAAGGTACACATTGCATGTATAATACGGAGTAGGATATATTACTAGATGAGACTAAATTATATGGAGTACTAAATTATATGGAGTACTTTACTAGTAAAAGGTACACATTGCATGTATAATACGAAGTGTATCAATAGATCAGAG